CAAATATCATAAATTGGATACATTTATTTAACTACTAAATCTAAATTATCATTTAACTCAGTTTCAGGCTATTAGAAATTATAATACGTTAAGTAATAAATTAGGGACTCGTCCCGGATAAATTGTAATACGTAACAAAGTGTAGTTTTGGGTACATTCATGTTTTTCCAGTTTTTTGTTATTAACAGTGTTTAAGGCTGTCACGGTATTTTTGCTAGAAATAGCGCTCCAGTTTTGCTTCATTTGCCAGTGGTAAGAGTTACATGGAATACATTTGGTCAGATTAGACAACAAATTCCACACCACTGAGCAATTGAAATATATAATCACGAGCTAGAAAAACGCCTCAGATATTATGCACACTTCTATAAATGTTTCTTAAACTGATGCCAATACAGATCCTGAGTTTCTCAGCTTTCTTTCAACACTCGTATTCGAAAAATCCAATTTTTTTTTACTCACAGTGAGCTCCAATGGACAAATAGATTAATTTTTAAAGAAAAATACAAAAGCTATTCTAGTACTATTATACATAATAAATTCATGTCTAAGAAAAAAAAACAGATGTACAGTAATCGCAACCGTAGTTTCGATGTGTCTTAATTAAGCATGTTTAGATATGTGTAGCTTACATTGTTCAAAGGTAAAAAAAATAGTCCGAAAACAGTCACGAGCCGTCTGTTATAGAACGCTCTGTATCTCATGTACTTAATTCATTGTAAGAAGTCGCAAAAATATTACAATGAGTGATAAGTCAAAAAAGAATGAAACAGGGAAAGAAAACAATAAAGTAGTATTACGCCATAAATAGTCTTGAGAACTTCTCGTATTAAAATAGTCACTTCAATACCCCCATCATTTCTAACATCTGAGTGGACTCGGATCTCATATCGCTAGGACCACGATGAACAAAGTAGTTAACACGCTTCAAAAATTTCCACGTAGCGTTAGACATTAAAACAAAAAGAAAAAAAAAATGTGCCATACTATTGTATTATATAGGATCAGAGGTTCCCAACATCTTCGAAACATTAAAAACATGGAACGTAACGATAGTTATGCTAGAGCTATAGTCCAGTTGAATAGACACTTCATTACCAGAAAACACGGATCTCGGAAACTACCGCACCGATCATCACCAATCATAACTGGGTAATATTTTTATAACTAGGCAATATTTTTATAGTTGAGCAATAAATAAAACAATCCAAATTTCCACAAAAATTATATGTTTCAGATTCAACCAATAAAAATTACAAAAAAAGAAGCAAGTTTCAAATATAAAACAATCACAAATCAAACTTAAAAAAGTATTTGTTTTTCTTTAGTGAAAAAGCTCATGAGTGTTGCAAGAGAAAAGCAAGGCACTTTCATTGATAACTGCGTCTACAAAGAAATACTTCAATAAAATCTACTCTGTGATATAATGCTGTGATGATAGCTCATTTTTAAACTAAAATTTAAATAAAATCCCTTTTATCATGGATGGTGAACATTATTGAATTTCAAGTATGACTACATTGTTGTAGAGCTGTCAGACAATTCTAGAAAAGGCCACAGGCCCAATAGCCTACCTCAGGAACTAGCAGTTATACCTGCTCGGAGGGTACGTACTTCTGCTAATAAGTATAAACGAGTTTAACTTAATTGCATCATCGTCTTAATTACAAGACAGTTACGACTTAAATTTTGACTTAAGGAAAATGCGATTTAAAGTGGTCAGTAAGTTAGAACGGAACATTACCCCTTCCCCCACCTTTAAAAAAGTTACAAAGTTTCTTTGGAAATGGTACTACGATATATAATTATTTATAAATAAAATTAATGAGAGTAGCTTTCCAAAATTTGTGAATAAAAACAAATGTATGAAACAAATTTTATGATATATCTTAGTGTATCACACGATTTTAATTGGGCAAGATAAAACTATATGTAATAAAAACGCTGTAATCTGTCGTGTGAATCGAGCGTAGAAGTTCTAAAACTCAAAAGACACAACATCGCTTGAAAATATTTTTATCTTGTTCCTCTGTCGAAATTTTAAAGGAAGACAAATTTAAGTTGAAGAATATATTTGAAATATTATAAACGTTAACCATTATTATTAATAGTTTTTATTTGACGATGCCTAATATGCTTTGGCATGTGATTTTTTCAGCAACAAGTTGAATTTATATTTTATTTCAAATTAAACTTTAAACACATCTTATTCAGCAAAAACCACAGAAGTGAAAGAAGTGCCCATAGAAAAAGAAAAAAGTGCCAGCGAATCAAAGTGATTTTGATTTTAAATTTTATCCAAGAAGCTTAAGTGACATTTCCATTAAAAATTAACTTTAAAACAAACTCCAGGACTGAAAACAAAACCAAATGGTGACAGTGAATCAAAATTGTAATTCTAGTTTTTAATCAGCAATATGAATCGCAATACCTGTAAATAATACAAAAAAAAAATCAACGTATTTTCAAATAGTACGCAAGATGATCAACAGATGGCAATTTTATGTAATAATTTTAATGCTTCAGTTAAGAGTAGATTATTGTTTAAGAAATAACGTCACACTCTATTATGAAGTATACACTTCATCCGCTATCATTCGCATTCGAATATGCAATATTTGTTTAAAATGACTGTCCACGAAAAGCTTCTTTCAAGAAAGTATTCCAATTAACCAGTAGAGGGCGCAAGCATTTAAGATTTCGAGTCTCTCATCAGCAGGATTAGTAGTCAGGGCAACGCGGAATGGCGTTGAGACGTGTGGAACAGCTGGGTAGGAGCGTTGTTTGTACTAGATCCCAGAATGGTAGAAATGTCGGGGGTCAGCTGAGTAAAGATGTAAGTACTGTGTAAATTAATTTCTGAAAGTACCCTCTGCATTATTACTTTGGTAGCATTAATTTATCTCTTGGCAATGAGAGTTACCCAGAGCCCATCACACGACCTTTTGTTTTCGTGCATTGATGGTGTTTCTCAGCAGATAAGATTGATCAGAAGTAACTTTTGTTATTTAAGTCATATTGCGAGATTTTTATATCATATTTTATCGTGACGTAATGTTCTTATTATTCAAAAGATGAAATATTGTTTGGAAGCACTTAAAGTTATTCATTTGAACTTTAAGTTCTCCGTATCTCGGTCTGTCTTTTTTAAAGGAATAAATCATCATTTTATAGTCAGTTTATTTTCAGTAAGTATAAAGATCAATTCAATAATTCTTAATATGTGTTGATATCTTTTCTTTTTGTTTGTCATTAGAGCTTACTATTTCCTTGCTTCGGATTCTTCTTTTTTATGAATTGAACCAGTACTTTACTTTGTTACTTAGTAAAAAAGACTATTAAATCAAACACCCGAATCTTTAACATAGTTTCGATATTGTAACTTTTTTAATTGATAATTTCAACCTGAACGTACAGTATTTTGGCATTTGTTTTTTGCTATTTGAATGAAAACTTTAAGGGACACATGGGCTAAGCGGCCAGGCCTGAAACCCTAAGGCTCAGGCATAGCTACACTTAATTTACAACTGCTGATCAGAGTGAAATCGAGTGGTTTCAAGAGAGGCTTGCGTTTATTCAACACTTGTGAATAGTTAGGCGCATTCACAATTTACTGCTATCACTTTTTTACTGCTGCGAAATCTCTATTTGTAAAGTGAGTAAATAATATGTAACAATATTATAATATATTTCAGTGTGTTTTAGAGTATGTAACTGTTACTATAGAATGTATATAAGTACATGTATCACTGGCATATGAACGTTTCCTTTTATTAAACTTATTTACTTTTTAATAAACCAACTACAATATTCGCCACCGAATAACACAATAAGCACATTAAATGAGAAACTATTTTTTTCAACTTTATCTTATAAACTTTTATCAGCATCATTATCAAAAACAATAAAGGCATATCTGATATCATATTAATTAAAATATATAAATAATTAAAAAGTTTGTGAAAATTAATCTTATTGTTCGCGTGGCGCTCAAGACCCTAAAATGAAAGTTACCACTTCATTTTAAATTATAGATATATTGTGACCAAAGTATAAAAATTATGAGTATGAAAATGACGAGTTATTTAAAATAAAAAAAAATAAATGCAACTATTCCTTCTGGGGAAGGGGGGGTGTGCTTCCAGTGCAGTTGTTTATACTAAACCCGTAAGAATAAGAAAAATAAAGTTAATCCTTATTATATTTTAGTTAGTTGCCAGAAAATCTTTCTCCTGACAGGGAGGATTGCAAGCCAAGCTTTATGCCATATGACTTTGATCGTTGAAGAGTGTAAGTTTGATATACACTCTACGCCTCCATTAAATTGTGGCAACATTTTGTTATTGCTCTTCTCGTCCGAGTTATGTACAGTTCATTTTCGCTGCGACCTCTTGACCAAATCGATTAGACCAGAAATAAATACAAGAAACGAATGACAGCCCCCCCTCTCCTTCCTTTGCACGGGTTTAGTGAGCGAAAGTATAAAATAACTGAACCTTATCAAAAGCCCATTACAATCTGAAGAAAAATGTGTGCAATTGTCAACTGACAGCTTGAAGGTTGGTTAGAAAAGCGTAATAGAAAACATGTAGTGACGTTTTAATATATTTATGGTTCGCAGACTAGCTTACAGTCTATGACCAATAAACGCCTTCTTCGTTATAAGAATTCTTTTTCATATTCACACGGATACTCGTAATAACCGGAAAATTTTCGATATCACGAGTTTAGAGAACTATTAAAACATTTATAAATATGTAACTGAATAGATGTGTTCCATAAAGAGATCTATAAATAGAATAATTTTATTTGAAGTTATTACTTGAAATTTGTTTTCTATGACGGAAGTGAGAAATGATTTGGTTTCTAGAAGAAACTTTCACTTATTAATATGGTTTGTTTGTTTTGTTTTTTGAATTTCACGCAAAGCTACACGAGGACTATCTGTGCTAGCCGTC